GAAAAGGGCAATATGCTCAAGGGGCAACTGGTCATTTTGCCGACATCAGTAGTCTACTCGCCGACAAAAGATTTGTTGGGAAAAAGAAACAGCGTCAAATTAAGCGTTTAAAAACAAGTATGAAAAGAAAGACGGAGTTGAGAGAGCAAAAAAACAGAATGAAAACAGAACATTATCATTACTATCAATTTTTTATTATATCAGGTATGATTCTGGAAAGTACAAAATAATTTAAAACTATTCTTAAGCATAATTGATCCCTCTGTCAGATGATGATCAAATCTGTTATGACTCCAATTCTCTTTTTCCTTGTTTACACAGTAATTCAGAATTTTTTTAATTTTCATCTGTTGAGTCCGTCTGACGGCAGCTATGAATTCTTGGATGGTACTTTCATTGTAACCTATAAGGAAAAAAAAAGACATAAAGGTAAACATAATCACGGTTCTAAACTACCCTAAGTATTCTTCAGGAACCAGTCATTTATCTGTTAGGGAGGGGGGGAAAGGGTCTGAAGGATTTTGGGGGATCACATGGTTTTGAGGCAGAATGGAGGTGGAGGGGGGGGGGGTCAGTTGTCTCTGACAGAGGTAAGAGGGGTGACTGTAGAAAATTGACTGCCAACGAGAAGGGATCATAAGAATAAGACAGAGCCTTATGTGGGGATCAGGTAAATGTTATTGTGACACAACCAAAATCCTCTGACCCCATCACAGTCCAATGCTCCACCACTTGGCTACATAGAACCCTATCATGCTTTTTTCATGTCACGTCTAAACCAACCTCTCGACCATAGTTTAAAAAAACGTTAAAAAAAAATTCCTGGGAAAGGTTTTGATAAATTGGAGTGGAATTTAGACAGTTCTAAGGACCGGTTTGATTCTTTAGTTTAGATTCACATTTTTGTGTTCTTTGCTCAAGACAAAACAATTAAGTACCATCTTTCTTTATTTAACAACCACCCTCAAAATTAACCCTTTAACTCCCATCAGTGACCAATTAACTCCCATCAGTGACAAAGCCAGAACTTCTCCTTACATATAAATACAATATCAAGTTGTCAAGTTATGAGAATAAAAAATTAGGGTATAATTAATTCTCAAATTCTCTGAACTACCATCATAAGAATTGTATGGCAGATAGTACAGAAAATTACTGATAAGATCTAGGGAGTGAGAGAATTTTCCACCTAGGATTCTTCCCCTTTTGCTATAAAATTACTAAGATATTGCTTTTTTATAGTGCAGCTCACCGTTTTCACTTCTAGGTAGGGCAGGAGACCATATTCACCCCTGCAAAAGTTTAAGATAGTGAAATAAAAATTTAACAAATTTAATAGCCACCACTCAGCTGAGCAGGCATTCACAAGCACAAGCTCCAGTGTGAGGTCAAGACTATACGGCAAATTAATATTCAGTCCGAGGGGAAGGAGGTGCTCAGAACCTCAGAACCCCTATTACTTTATAGTCTATTCCGTGCCAATTAGAGACCCCATCTTAACTCTATTGAGAATGCAAACCCATTATGGTCAAATTAAGAAGTTGTGAAAATTCAATCCAGTGGCACTTCCTCCATTAGCTCATTATTAGGAGGAACCATCCCCCTCCCCTCCCCCCCAAACTCCATCTTCAGTTCTGAGAGGTTTGAAGCAGTTGTTTTAAGCATTTTCCTGCCACATCCAACTTTAGATTTTTCCTTTTACTGATCTAAGGTGCCTGAAATGAGGGCCCATGGTTGAGTTGGTGAGAGCTGCCACCCATTGGAGGCTGGCCGGACATAGGGAAAGTCCTCAGAAACCCTGGGCACCCCCTTTCCAATCTAGCTAGGCAGCAGGTCACTCCAGGTGACCTACCCACCAACCTCAATGCCAGTTGAGAACTTTTACTAACCATGCTACTGGATATGGAACAAAAGACCTACTATAACTTGCCTTGCCCCCATAATGAGGCTATGTGGCTTAGTTGGTAGGAGTCTGGGAGACAATAGATTGAACCCCATCAAAGCTTTAATTTTTAAAGGTTCTTTTTATTTGATTGCATTCTATTTGTGAGGATAATTTCATCATCTGTTATCACACAAAGGTCAAAAAAAGGTTGTGTCTCATATTTTTGTTAAATTACTTCAACTATAATTACCATTCTCTGCCAAATCCAGACATTTTGAAGCCTCCAAAAGGAGCTTGTGGGGCCCCACATTCATAGCAGTTGACCCTGAATTGAAACCATAAAAACAACAACAACAACAAAATAATAAATTAAGTATCATTTAAAGTATGTATTTCTGAAATAAAATGGGGGATCTATTATTATTTGTGTCAATTCTTAGGTAACAAATCATTCATCTTTACTAACCAAACTGTTCCAGCTTGTAAGCTGTGAGAAATTGTTGTTGCTTTGTCTATATCTTTGGTAAATACAGCAGCAGCCAGGCCATATGTGGTTTTATTTGCCCTCTCAATAACTTCATTTATATCACTGAATTTGATGATCTGTTGTACAGGACCAAATATCTAGAAAGGAAATGTCAGTTGATCAAATAAGTCAACAATTTCTCTTCTCTCCTTTGCCAGATTTGCTGTAGGTTAAAATTTATCTTTTTTTTTTTTTTTAGTTAAGCAGATTCATATCTAAACCACTTACAGTCTTCCTTTTTCTTAGATTGATCATCATAATCTGTTATAAATTATAAAATTCAAACCCCAGCCTATTAAAAAGTGGAATTAACAACATTAACTATACTTGTTATTTTTATCCATGCTCATTTTGAAAACCCTTACACTATGCAGCTTTGCTAAGTTTAAATTAGACATGAGTGCACTAATTAAAGGTCCAACTTAGTTTCATCATTCCACAAGTTGGTGCTGTAAAGTTAACAACCTCTTCTTTGGCAATCCTCATGTGATCTTTAACATCTGAGAAGACTGTGGGTTGTATAAAATATCCTTTGTCTCCATGTCGAGCACCTCCACACTCAAGCTTTGCTCCTTCTTTTTTTCCACTCTCAATCAGATCAAGGATTTTATTGAACTGTTCTCCATCAACCTAAACAAAGCCTACCTTTAGTGAATGATAGCAGAATGTGAATAACACTGTACACCTAAGTGTTGATAATTAATTCCAAGTACAGCTGTGATGTTTTCAAAGCCAAATTCCAGATGATTAAAACAAAAGATAACGTTCAACCTTTAACCTCTTCAAGTCAATAGCATCTTAGTTCTCTCATGATTATCAATACTAAATAAAACAGAAAGGATATATGAGAATACAGGGTATGACTTCCTAATCAAAAAGCTTTTGATTGTTAAACAAATTCTCCTTGTCAGTATCATTGGAAATGTATATAACAGTATGGAGAATATGCATATTGATATTAGCATGTATAAAGGTACATCTACATAAGAAGAGAATTAACTTAAAGTCCACATGACTGACCAAAGTTACAAGCATTGTGCTAAACACTTTCATCCCCTGGACTGACAAAAAAGGAATTTCTCCCTAGAGTATCTATACATCGTCAGGTACAACAGTCGTTAAAGTGCCTTTCAGAGGCTTAATTCCTGATAGGTCTCCCCATAGCACAAGCACATTTAAATTTTTTTTGCACCAATTAGTTCTTTTTGTGTATTACATATGAGTACAAGTTTATATCCTAACAGTGTCAGGTATATGACTTCTGTCCTTTCTTCATTAAATTTCATTTACCTTTATGTTATCATTATGATAGTAAATTATTGTTATTTATAGTACACTTTCTTATGAATTTCAGAGATCATTGGTTAAGAAATCAAATTCTTTATATCTGCTGATTTGCTTGCTACAACAGCAATTTGAAGAAAGAAAAATCTCAACTAGAAGAAATTGTGTGATTTGGAAACAATATCTCATGTGTAAAATTATGGGAAATGTATGGCAGACACTAAGATGAACTGACATTTGTATCTTAAGGATGAAAAGATTATAAAACCTACACACCTGTGGTCCTTGCTCAATCACATCATCAAATGGATCCCCAACTGAACGTTTTTTAGCTCTTTCCACACTCTTTTTCACAAACTCATCATAAATGGTGTCTTGCACAAAAGTGCGGCTGCCAGCACTGCAGCACTGTCCTTGGTTAAAGAACAATGCTGAGTGTGCCTGTTCCACTGCATAATCCACATCACTATCAGCAAAAACTATATTTGGGCTCTTTCCTCCAAGTTCCAGTGTCACACGCTTTAAGTTGGACTTTGCTGCAGCAGCTTGTATAATCCTTCCCACCTAAAGAGAGGCAAAAGTTACATGCACAGCTCAGTCCTGCTGTTAGGACTGTTCAATAGATATTTTGTTTAGTTTGCCACAAACTAAAACACTTGAAGAATCATTTCATAATTATTCATTATTTATAATAAGATATAATTTTTGTGTTGAAAAATTATCAGCAGCTTGCACACCTCAGTTGACCCTGTAAATGAAACTTTGTTGACTTCCATATGTTCAGATATGGCCGCTCCTGCTGTTGGACCATAACCAGAGATGATATTCACAACACCAGGAGGAAACTCAGCCTGAGGAAGCAAGTTAAGACAAAAAATCAAAATCACGAGGTTCACTGACTTAAAACTTCACCCTGAAAGATAAATTAAGAACACAGTAAGAAGATAAAGTCATCTTCGTTCACATCTCATTAACTGTTTACACCTTAACATAAGTGCAAATATTCTCCATACTGTTCTCTGTACTGTGTCAAATAACTGACTAAGAGAATTTGTTTAATTGTCCAGAGCTCCTTTAGTTGGCAATAATTTCAACTGTTCTCATGACCTTAATGTTTGATTTAGTGGTGATACTGTAAGGAGAAATAAGATGCTGGTCACTCTTAGAGGTCAAAGGGTTCAAGAGCTTCTTCAGTTGGTGATCATTTCCTTTATTCTCATGACCTTAATGTTTGATTCAGTGGTGATACTTTAAGGAGAAATTAGTCACTACTTGCTCTTGCACTCTAGTTAGGGTAACAAAAATTAGAATGCTTTGCTTGTTGGTTACTGTCCCAGCAGTTGAATAACTTTGCTGCTGTTGACCTAAGCAGACAATGTTGTTCCTAAAACTTAAATGCTCAAAATAAAATGCACTGCTTCTACCTACACAGCAGGGGATTGAAGCTCACCTCTTTAAACAATGACCCCACATACAGCGCTGTTAATGGAGTTTGCTCAGCTGGTTTAAGTACAACAACATTGCCACAAGCCAGAGCGGGAGCAAGCTTCAAGCAAGCCATGTTAAGAGGGAAATTCCATGGTACAATAGCTCCAACCACACCCACAGGTTCATGTCTGGTGTACACAAAGTAAGGACCATCTGCCCGTAAAAGTTCAAGTTACAACCCAGAAGTCATTTCAGAGTGGCAGAAATATATATTTATGTTTTCACATGAGAGTCTTACTATACCACAAACACACATTGCTGCCAGAGTCTATGCATGCCAATAGGGTTATCAGACCTAGCTTTAACCTACTCTATAGGGGAGCACAACTGACTTTTAATCAGCTTTTTCTGTCTTCAAGATGCTAAATACATATAATGGCATTCGAAAAGAGAGGGTCCCACAGTTTGGTAAAATCATATTTTAAAACAACTTTGTTTTGAAGTCAACTTAAAAGAAAAAGAGCCAAGAAAAATTGTTCCATTCACACTACTCCTAAGAACTAAATACTCACCAGAAGAGATTGTCTTTCCTGTTATCTTATCAGCCCACCCAGCATAGTATCTGAAGCACTTCACAGTTAGATCCATGTCATCTACTGAATCAGTGAATAATTTTCCACTATCTCTTGTTTCCAGGGACTTATTATGAATGAAACAACTTTGTCAGTAGAAGAACAGGAAAATACAAATACAAAATAATACTTTGTAATCCACGTTACGGTTTTGAACGTGTGTTACATAGAATTATGTACAATCAAATGGATATATCTTTTTCAGGGTATTTAAACACATGCATTTTACACACACTGCAATCCTGAGAGTGCAGAGTAAAGTTGAACTCAACTTTTTTTTTTGTATGGGCCTGCATATTTGCACAAAAAAAGCAATGAATATGGTACTTTCAATAAGATTTGAAGGCAGTAGTTACCTCAGTAAAGCACCTGCCGGAGAATAATGTGTAAAAAAATTTGAGTCAGTATGTTGTTGGAAAATCAGAATCTTTTCTTTTTGCTGGAAATATATGAAATGTATGCTGGAATATATCAGTGATAAGACAATATCAATCATTTTTATCAAAACTTGTTTATAAGGTAAAAGTCAATTGACTGAAAGAACTAACGAAGATCTTGAGGTGTTTTAGGTCACACTTCATAAGTTTTACTGAAAGCTTCCAATTAAAGTATACCCGGCAATTCACAACAGAATACCTGCCAGAGCTCTGGCAGGTGCCAGGTCTTATTGAAAGCACTGTAAGTAGCATTGATTTTCACATGGCAGTGGAAATTGCTTAAGCATGTCTTCTTTATGCTTGTTTTATGTAAAGAAAACTTATGCAATACTCGAAATCTACCTTAAGAGGTTGGAGCCTCAATGCACAGCAAAAACATACAGTATTGGGTTGTGCCTGCCTTTAGTTATAATAAAGCATGATTTTACTCACAGCTAGATAGTCCAGATCTCTTTCTATAAGATCAGCAACCTTGTACAGCAATTTTCCTCGCTGAGAAGCATCCATAGTCCTCCAAGGACTACCAAGTTTAAAAGCTTCCATGGCTGCTTTGACTGCTTTGTCTACATCTGCCTGAAGCATGAAAGATATTTCACTTTAAAATGCATCCAACAAAGTAATTGGCTACAGGTTGTAACATGACTAATATCCAAATACTCCTGACTAACTGATATGGAATTATCAGATCTTGGGAGATGAAGAGATCAGAAGAGATAAGATAGCAAAGTTTTGCTGCATGACTATTTCAATACATTCCCTTCTCCAATCTGTCTCAACTGAATTGTCTCAACAGTACAGAGTAGCAGAGTAATGCTTTTTCAGGTGTATTTTTAGCATGATATGCTACTCAACAAATTAGAAGTGATTAACATGTGATTAACATCTGTGGCTCAGTGGTAAAGTGGCATTGGAGCACAGAATCCGAAGGTCTGGGGTTTGATTCCTCATGGGGACTAAGAATTTTTTTCTTTGTCCCACACTTAAGACAAGACAAAAAAACCATCTTTATTTATTTCTTTACCGAGCTCAAAACTTACCATCTCTCTTATTTCTATCTACAAAAATTATGCTATCAACATTGCTAACCCTAGCAGTATGCAGGATGTGTGTCATATGAACTTCGTAACAGACCTCGCTCACTGTAGAGTCTCTGTGGCTCAGTGGTAGAGCATAAGAGCATGGAATATGAAGGTCTGGGGTTTGATTCCTCATGGGGACTCAGAATTTTTTTTTGTCCCATGCTCACAATAAGATGAAAAAAAAAATTTCTTTATGTAACTTCTTCCTATAATATCCCTCGCATTATCCAGCAAACAGGTAATGAGAATACGCAAACTTATCAGGTAGAAGTTGTTATCTTAACTGAACACCAAATTCTTGAAACTTATTTACAAGGAAATGCGTAGCAGCTGATGGGGGGGAGTATATATAACCAGGTCTTGGGTGTAAGAAGGTAAATGTATAATCATAAGTAAAAGACATAAAAATGTTTGACAAAAATGTATCTTTCATCAAGAAAATAAAGAAAAGATTAAATGAATATACATGAATTAATATGCTCCAGTACCTTCTCACCCTCTGCAACCTCACATATCTTTTCCTCCGTCACTGGATCGATAGTAGCAAAAGTTTTCTTGCTGACTGAGTCCACATATTCATTATTGATAAAAAGCTGTCAGTACATAAGAAAAAAGTCCATTGAAATGTCAGGTGCTTTTTAGATAACAACATTATTTTAATAAAGTAAATTCAGCCTTAAATAAAGGAGTGTGAAACAAATTCTATTCTGTTTATCGCAATCCCAAGGCCCAGTTATGTTGTTCACTGACTAAATATACAACTTTCAAATTCATATGAGTCAGTCATGTTAAAAAAATTTAGCAGTTTGATATTGCTGTCAATAATGTTTGTGACATACTTGAATTTTTTGAGCAATTTTCAACCATGTTCAGTGATAATCAACAATTTATTCTTGTTTTAATTTTCTGAGTTTATTCCTAGAATTTTGGAACTCAGGTGTATTTTTAGTGATCAGATGATCTGTAGAGTATGGCAAGTGTACCCCTGAATCCTTCTTCTTAACCCTTAACTCCCTGAGGTGATTAACATGTAACTTCTCCCTACATTAACCTTACATCATCCAACAAACAGGTAATGAGAATACTCAAACTTATCAGGAAGATGCTATCTCAATCTAAAACCAAATTCTTATAATTGATTTACAAGGAAATGTGTAAAAACTAGAGGGGAGAATAAACAATCAGATCTTGCAAGTTAAAGACTTAAAAGATGTACTAAAATAGGCACACACATGTGAATTCTTGACCTTCAGACATATTGAATCTGGTGCATGAGACCAAAAATGGTTCTGTTATATTTCCCTGACTTGAAAATAAAAAGAGAAATGACCCTTGCACAGGGGGGAAGGTTAAAATAGTAAAATCCTTTGCTTGGAAACATGCTCTTTTATCCCTGTTGTGTGCATATATGAATTTATTTTCAAACTGATACAAGCAAAACACCTGTGAAACGGTAGTTTCCATCTACAACATTCTCAGCGCAATTTAACAGTTTCAATCTATTGTTTAACTTCCTTGTCTGAAGGTAGAGTATTCATACCAAGGTGTTGAATGTTAACACAATACGACTGGTCAGATTTGAATTACGCTCTTAAAAAAGGACATACCCCACATGCATGTAAGTAAAGAATTATTTCAAGACCCAATTAGAGAATTATTTGTTGAGGGTTGACAGGACTTCATGCGACTTTTTACCTACGACTGTTTGCCTTATCTTTCAAAACGTAAAGAAAACAAAAACCAATGCATATCAGATTCTCCTATCAGTTTATAAAGAATAAAGCTTCCAGATTTTATATAGGTTGAGTTCCATGGATTGTATGCATGGAAATTCGAACGTTTGGACCGAATGATCGATCAAGCCGTTACTTGCAAAAACTACACTCATATGAAAATTTTTTCAAAGGTTTAACATACCTTTGTGAACTTAATTTCTGGATTCCTTACAGCTTGAGGCATTTCGACCGTTTTGGGTGTTAGAAATTAGTTCGTACCTGTTAAAGAAATGTTATCAGCTGATAAGTTATAAAAAAAAAATCGGGTAGCTCATTTCTCAGCGGTTCCTTGGAAAGTAAAAGGGTATTCATATAAGTACACGAATCTGTAAACAGTCCACAAAAACGACAACCTCATTCCCAAGGCCTTTTCCCTTTCTTGAGCAAAGGAAAAGGCCATGGGAACGAGGTTGCAAAAACGAGAAACAGCTTTGAACGAATCCCTAACCGCGCATTATCGCTTATATGAATTGTTTGGGAAAATTACGGCTACACGTTAGAATAGTCTCACCAGAGTGGCAGAAATGATCGAAAAACCACGAACGAGACAGAAACTAATTTGCGAATTGGGTAAACGTATCGACAAAGCAACGTTTTTAACAACCTTTTAATGGTTGGTTTGACTGTCTTCTCGATTAAATCCTCGCCATTCCATGGATTTTTATTTTCATATTCACAAACCACAGCTGAGATCCGAAACGTGAGATCAGTTTCAAACGACCAAAAAAAAGATCATCAAAAGCTGTGTCCACTTGTTAATAATGATAGACAAAAACGTGGTACGTTAACAATGAGTTAGCCGAACGTTCTACTACGAAAAGACAGGTGTAACAATCTGGCCTATGCAATCTTGACACGTGCGTTTACAAAGGCTCGAATGTTAACTTGGATTTCCCCTCAGCAGCATCGGTTTTAAGAAGTGTTTCAGATGGCGTCGTAAGCATGACCAGTGCTAAAGAATTCCAAGAAAATGGCACTCCACTGAGAAAGAATAGTCTATAGTGACAAGTAAACACCTAATTGTACGGGAAAAAAATTTGTACCGTTTAACCCTTTAACTCCCACATCAAATTTGTAATTCTCCTTACTGTCAACCATACATTTCTTATAATGTTAGTTCAGAGGACTTGGTATTGGATCGACTTATTATCCCCAAATTGATATTTTTCTTTATTCTCGTCACTTATCTGGTTAATATTGTATTGACATTGTAAGGAGAAATTCTGTCTTGGTCACCCGTGGAAGTTAAAGGGTTGAACACAAGATGTAATTCATGGAGAACTTTTAAAAGCAAAGAAGCGGTTATCATACATGGTAGTTGACCTAAAAAGAAATCTTTTTAACCTTCGCCAAAAGAGCATCACATGGCAAAATCAAGGTTATCGATCAGATATGCTTCACGCTGATGTGTTGTGCTATTTTTAGCCGAGTCATTAAAAATAACCCTTCCAAAACGCGTAAAATCTGTTCCGTTTCGGGGCTCAGCTGTGAACCGTTAATATAAAGGTCTGAGATCCGTGGACTCACAAGTAATCCAATCGAAAGACAAAACAGCAACCATTACAAGTTTCTCAATTGAGACGTTGAAACCTGACCTAAAAATGAACTTTTCCGTCATTGTTCTAATTTTATTGCGTTATTCCATTCACTTGGCCCGTGCTGGCCTTATCAGTGAGAACATGAAGGTATCAAAAACTGAGCATGATTTTCGTCCTGAGGGAGTCTGGAGCGGTCTACCTAAACGGCGATCAGAAATGGCGGGAAGAGCATCCTGGGATACCTCTAGTGTTGAGACATTCTTCTTTAAGAAACCTCTTATCATGGACAAGGCACTCAAGAACTCTTCACGTTTAGAAAATACAATAGAGGCCGAAGATTGTCCGCCAGGAATGCGGGCTTGTAAAAAGAAGATGATAATATCAAAGCAGATGCTAAGGACAGCTTTCAAAAGATCTAAGCAAAGTAAACGTCACCTGGTCAGAAGAGACACAAACCGCACGTGCCCAACAGGGGTCTGGTCATGTTCAGCTCAAAAGCAATTTAAAATTAGGACATGGCATGGCATTATGGACGAGGCGCCCAAGGACTCTTTTCGTTTAGGAGATTCAAGAAAGGCTGAAGATTGTCCGCCAGGAATGTGGGCTTGTAAAAAGAAGATGATAATATCAAAGCAGATGCTAAGGACAGTAAGTAAACGTCACGTGACCGAAAGAGATATCAAGCGCGCGTGCCCACCAGGAGTCTGGTCATGTTCAGCTAAAAAGCAATCTAAAATTCGACGTGCAGCGGGATCGTATCCCCCAATCTGGACACGGTATTCTGATAATATTAGTTTTAGTTTTTAATCTTAAGAATTGATTATTTTATATTGTGCCATGTATAAAAACTATTTTAAGAAAATAAAAAACTTAAGAAACAAAAAAGATGCGTTTTTCGCTTCAGTTCTCAAACTATCTCGCAATAGTCATGGCTGAGAAAAATATTGATACCAGGGTTAAGACGTGAGAGCGCTCCTACGTCGGTTGAAAGAAAAGCCATGTTTT